ATGCTTGTGAAAGCTGGACAATGAATAAAGAATACCAAAAAGAGTTGATGCTTTTGAGTTGTGGTGTTGGCAAAGAATATTGAAAGTACTATGGACTGGCAGAAGAACGAACAAATCTGTCCTGCAAGAAGTGCAGCCAGAATGCTCCTTGGAAATGAGAATGGCCAGACTTCATCTCACATATGAGATGGTCATGTTGTCAGAGAGACCATTCCCTAGAGAAGGATGTTATGCTGGTAAAGTGGAGAATCAGCAAAAAAGGGGAAGACCCTCAACAAGATGGACTGACACATTGGTTGCAATGATGAGCTCAGGTGTAACAAGGATTGTGAGGCTGTCGCAGGACTGGGCAGTGTTTTGTTCTGTTGTACACAGGGTCACTATGAGTCGGAGATGACTCAACTGCACCTAACAACATCAACAACAACAAACACCCTGGACCTGCTGTAATTTTTGTTATGAGACTCAGACACCCAGCAGCCATTTCCTGATTCTAGGACTTCTGGTGACAGAAGGGAAGGGTATGAGGCTGACTTAGATTTAAGGGCATGGTAGACCAGTAATTACAAAGGAGGAATGTGCAATCTACATGGCCAGAAATAAACATTTCAATTATGGTTTATTGAGGAATGTCACGGGACCTGCCTATGATATATTTGGACTGTATGTGACTTCATATTCTGTCTGTTTTTTGGTTTTTTGTTTGTTTGTTTTCTTGCATACATGATTTGTATTCTGCTAGAAAATACCAGAACTGTCTAGCATTTCATATGTGTTATTGGTGAAGCTTATTTTTAAGATACTGCTGTTTTGGTCTTTAGGTACAAATATTTTGGGGGAAAATTTTGACTCCTGGCTGAAGCTATATTCCAAGGGTATAATTAACCCCAGTGGTTTTCTTGGAGCAACCTGTGGATTGCTGCTGAATTGCAAACCAACATTTACCAATAATTACAATATTGGTTTTTCTGAAATTGCCCATAATGATTTCAATCAGAGCAGCCATCTCAGAACAGAGTGCACATTGGGACCCTCTAAATAATTTCCTCTGCTAATGTGGTCAGTAAAGCAGTGAGTCTCCTGAATGCCAAGGTCCAATTCTCCTGCACCAGCTCCTCCCTCAACAGACATGGCTGAAGCCTCCTTTGCATAGAGAGCTTAGAAAATAGTTTCTTTAGCCCTGTTTCTAATCTTTAAAAAAAAAAAAAGCTGACAGTAAACATTTGAAGATGAATAAGGTAATTAATTAAACAAACATTTACTTCCCACATCTTAATATACTTCCAGCAAGTTCTGTGGCCACAAAGGTGGTCAGATTCTGTATGCTGTTAAATGAGTATGACCTTGCTTTAGAAATAATATCAAAAGAGACATTATGTTTCTGACCAAGGGCTCCATCATTTTTAAAAAAGAATTCATAATTATGTTGTTTCTTTCAGCAAACAAACCAGGTCTTACCCACTTTTGAAACTTCATTACCTATTAGATTACTTGATACCTGACCCCCTACCATTGAGTTGATTCTGACTCATGGCGACCCCCATTGGGTTGCCAAGGTGGCAAATCTTCACCGAAGTAGATTGCCTCATCCTCCTTCCATGGAGCAGCTGGTGGGTTTGAACCACCAACCTTCTGGTTAGCAGTCAAATGCCTTAGTCACTACATCACCAGAGCTCCTTTTACTTGGTACCTCTACCAAACCAAACACACTGCCGTCTAGTTGAATCAACTCGTAGCAACCTCCATTGGGTTTCTGAAGCTGTAAATCTTTACAGAAGTAGGTGGTCCCATCTTCTCCCATGGAGCAGCTGGTGGGTTTGAACCGCTGACTTTCCGGGTAACAGTCAAATACCTTATCCACTATGAACCAGAGCTCCTTTTACTTAGTACCTAATAGGTACTTAATATGCATTTGTTGAATAAACCATATTTAAACCATTCTAAATTATATACCTGAACGTTATATGATATAAAATGATCTGAATTCTGTGAAACAATACATGTATGTCATAGGAACGTAATCGTCACTCAGATAAAATGGTAGCATATTAAGTGTTTTGACTATGGTAGTTTTAGTAGTTTTTCTGTAATCCCAATTATATTTGTTTTTCTGAAACAAATCCAAAGATGAGAGAGTATCTTCATCAGAACTGTTGGTTTCTGCATTGCTTGCTTGGAGAAATTTTTTTCATACTAGCTGCAAAGAAACTTGGGATCTCTTTTTTGAAAACTAAGTGTCTCTGAACAGTTTGGGCCTTAGAGGTAGCAAATTGTTGATCTTGGGGTGCATCTCCCTAAAATTAGGCAAATGTCACATACTTCTTTTGTGTTCTATCTTCCACAATTATCACAAGAAGTAACAAAGATATGATTGGTAGTCCCTCCTAAGTTCAAAGGCTGTCATGTCACAGTGCTAACAGAGCTCAAAATCTGCATCATCTAGTACAGTGCCCAAATTTTGCACATGTGGGGTCTGAGGCTATGACTTGTCTAAGGTGACAGACAGCCTGTGCTGTACTGTGGCATCCTTAGCATTCAGTTTTAGAGATCTTCACAAAGGTCAGGGAGAACATCTCTTCTAAATAGATATCCACACAAACCAGAGTTCAGAGTGTTCTGCATTCTTGATTCCGCCTTTAGGAACTCACAATTCCAGGGAGAAATACTAAGGAAAGCACAGGCAGAACAGCCCCTGTGGACTAATCTCTATATGCGTGCAGGGAGATCTTGGGGGAAGGGCTGGTCTTCACCTTGACAGATTTGTAAGAAGGCCACTGATGCCACTTGATGAAATTACCTCCTCCTTAGAGCCAATAGACCATTCATCATGAGTTAGCAAATAGACCATTCATTACAGATTCTGAGTGCAGAAAGTTATGATAAACATCCATTCCAAGGCCATCTAGGTGACCAACCTTTCCAGTTTGCCTAAGACTAACAGGTTTCCTGGGATTGCTCTTTTACTGGAGGATTTTTATTGCTAAAACCTGGACAATTCCAGGCAAATCAGGATGAATTGATTACTGTAACTCATTAAAAGAATAGAATTTCTGAAGTTCTACTGTGCCTCCTACTTCAATTTGCCCAGTATTGGGGAGTCACCATACACCTCCTTAACATTTTTGAGTTTCTTTTTAGCACTGAGTATTTATGACAATAGGGACACAACTGAATTATCATCTAAGTCTTAGAATGGTCCAAAAGAATTTGAAACACCTACATACCTGGACACTATCTGAACCAATTTTGAAATGTGTTCTACAGAATAGCTGGGGCCAGGAGCTAGATAGGGGCTTAAGTCTGCCTGAAGCCCAGTTGTCTTTTTGTTTGTCTTTTTTTTTTTTTTTTTCTGAATTACTATTTAAGGAAACAAATAGCAAGCACAATCACCCTAAATATTGTCCCCCTCAACATCAAGATTATGTGTCTTCCCTGATGTAGTGTTTATGTGTCCCCATTATTACTGTTTCTCAAACTTAATGTGCACATAGTTTAAGGGTCTTGTTAAAACACAGATCTGCATCTCTAATATGACCCAGATGTACATTCCACTGGCCTGCTCTCTGTAGCAGGGTTCTACATGAGATTGCTTGCTCTCTGGTTCCTCCTAGTATCAAAGGGAGGAGCAGGCACTTGGCCATTTCCAACGTGGCTGAATGAGGAGGGTGGGCTAGACTCTGACTTTGCCAGAAGTCTCCTTAGCAACGGCCAAAGGTGTACTTTTAGTAGGATTAGGTCCAAGGCCTAGTGACAAGCCCTTGTGTCACATATCTGTGATTCTCTCTGGCAGAGAGCAAGCCAGGGTGGTCCCCCAGAAGGTAATTATTTTGTGGCCTCTACAAGTTTTCTGAAGGTCCCTAAGTGGCACAAATGATTTGTCCTTGGTTGCTAATCTAAAGGTTGGCACTTGAAACCCTCCCAGTGGCACCGTGGAGGAAAAGACCAGGCCATCTGCTTCTGTTAAGATAACAGCCAAGGCAGCCACATGGAAGAGTTCTCCTCTAACACATGGGGTCATCATGAGTCAAATGAACTTGATAGCAACTCACCGCAATAAACAGGTTTTCTTTCTGAAAGAGATACAGAAAGCTCTTCATAGGAAGCGCGGGATTCCCAAGGCGTTCTATCTTTTTAATGTTGAATATCAGATGTCGTCTCACCCCATTGCTTTTGGTGGACACTAATGAAGTAGTAAAGCCAGCCCAGCCCTGGGTTTTGTCCCAAACAAGCTCATCTCCCTTCCCAATATTAGATCTGCAGTGCTCCAAGCTGATCGTACACTGCAAATAAAAAGAAACTGACTTTTTTCTGTTGATAAATGCTAAACACTTTTTTTCCCTCTCTCCTCTCACAAAGAAAAAGACTTTCACAAAGTGCCAGGGATTATCGCTCAGTCAGTAGGGCCATAAAAACTGAATACTCTCAGGAATTGTGCCTGTGGCAAATCGTGGTTTATTTAATCGCAACTGTTTTTTATTTTAATGAATCTAAGCCATAAAATTTAATTCATGGAAAATTAATCCCAAGGAGGCAGCACCCCACCCCCCCACACACACACCCTAGGCTGAGTCATGTATCCAGGGAAGAACCTGGACTGTTTTGAAAAATTATTTCGTGGGTGTAGATTTTCAGCTCAAACACTTAACATTTTCCCATATTTCAGGCTGTCCATCTCAAAATGTCTCAGGCTTATGAAAGTTCCATCTGCAGTTTTAAGAGCAGCTGAAAAGGAAACTGCGTGCCAGTGAGAGAGGGAAAAATAAGACTGTAATAGGGAGAGTGTTCTCCAGAACATTCCCAAAGGGCATTCCCAGATTGAGCCAAGTCCAAGGCATCTAACTAGAAGTCACAGTTTTATATTTATTGCTTTTTAATAACCATTTGAATTTCTGAGAAAGCAAGAAAAGAATCCAGCCCCACCCATCACTACATCCCATTCTGCTGGACTTGCTTTTCAAGTTGTGGATGAGAATTTCACGTGAATTAACTGGCTGTTTCAGGGGAACCCAGCGCACCTAAGCTCGAAGGGCAGATGGGAGAGGATGGAAACTCTATTAAGGTGAACCTGATCAAGCAGGATGACGGCGGCTCCCCAATCAGACACTACCTGGTCAAGTACCGCGCGGTGAGTGCCCACCTTCTCCAGCCTTCACCCCAAGCTCTGCAGCCTGTGGCACCCTCCTTATTGGTCAGCAACAGCACAGAGTCCAGGTAGGGCAGGGCCAGGACAGAAACTTGCTCTGTGTGTAATTACATCTGCTTCATGCACCTGGTCAGGGTTTTAAATCCAAAGACTGACCTATAGCTGCTATGCTGTGTCTACGCTGGGATCATTTTAAAACCTCTAAAATGATTGTACTAATGCCAAACTTAAGCCACGATTGATTTTTCTATCTCTTGAAGTTTTCTGCAAAGTTATTTGGCCATTATCTAGCTTTTTTTTTTTTTTTTTTTTTTAAATGAACAATGTCTGAATAGCTCATAAGAGCTATCTTTTATGAAGTTCTAATCCTGCCTAATGATGAGCCTGGCATTAAGCCTTCTCTTCCCAATCTAGCTTACCGTCCATCTAAGATTTTCATCACTTCCCTTTAAATTTATAGCCCCCAAATTGAGAGTTACTCTTTTTTTAAGGAGATGAGGAGCTTTAGGATGACACCTGGCCGTTGCCCACCACCACCAATTGCTGAGGCTTAGAGGCAATATCTGAGATCTGAAAATAGCCTCTTGCTAAGGTTTCTTAGTAATAGCAAATAATGAACCACAGAGCAGTTTTCTTTCTTCAGATACACAAAAAAGGCTACTAGGAATACTTCTCAGTTGGTAGACAAGACCTTTCAATCCATTCGGCTCTTTTTCTCACTTAATTGCTAAGTAAGGTATAACCTGGCATAATGGGAAAAGCCTCGGGTGCTCAATAAATGGTAGTTTTTATTTTTAATAAAACCTCTGGAATCTGCACCGTGTTCATGTATCAAGGAGGTGGCTTGCACACCAGAATGTGACCAACATGCTGAAATATGGCCAGAAACATATTTGTGTTATTACTTTCTAGAACAGTCCTTATGCATTTATACCCAGCATTCTCTAGTGTGGTTAGGAAGGTAGGCAGTGCTTGAGCCCCTGCTTGCCCTGAAGGTTAAGGGGCATTGACGGATTAGCCTCGTGCCACACTGGTATCTGCTGTGTATTTGCAAACACAAACAGTTGACCTTCTGACGTGTGTAATCCTTAGGATTTATCAGGCTGGTAAAGAATAAAGAATATCATTGCTTTTAATTTTTATTATTTTACACTAACAGTTATTGACTCCCTTAAGTTCTGCCCATTAACCGGTCTTCTAGCATTTGTACCTAAAGTTCTCTGGTATCTTCTGTCCTTCTTGCCGGTTTGTCCCAGAAGCTGTCCTCCGAGTGGAAACCAGAGATCAGGCTCCCCTCAGGCAGTGATCACGTCATGCTCAAGTCCCTCGACTGGAACGCCGAGTATGAGGTCTACGTGGTAGCTGAGAACCAGCAGGGAAAATCCAAAGCAGCTCATTTTGTGTTCAGGACATCAGCCCAGCCCACTGCCATCCCAGGTATGCACCCCTCTGCTTTCTGTTAGTCTCCTGCTTTGAATTAATGCACAAGTGCTGCACCTCCTAATGTGCCTGAACAACCCTGACAATTTGCTTGCTTACAGCCATCCTCATGATTGGTTGCCCATGCAAAGCTTAGTTTGCTTTGTACCCACTGTGCAGTGGGTTAAGATGTACTGTCCCCTAGGAAGAGGTCCTGCCTTGAAGGACTAATGCTAAGCCGGTCCATGGGACCTTCAGATGAGAAGACCCCCAGCTCCAGCCGAGCCTTGGAAGCTGGTTGAGTAAGGATCCTTCTTGAGACCTAATCTGCCATCTGCCATCTCATACAAGGACCATAGAACTATTGTCGAGTGCTTCCTATCGATGCTTGCTTCTCTGCACAACTATGGTCCAAACCTCTTCTCTGTGGTAGTCCCAAGAGAAGAAAGAGATGAGGCCAGTAAGTTAGAAATACTGTCTTCCAAGGGCCTTTCAGTTGAAACAAAGATTAAATTGAACCACTTGAAACAGAACAATTAAAGTCTGCTCAAGACTATGATGGGAGCCATTCTCCTAGGAGATGCAGATCTGTCTCTAGGGATCCAGAAGCAGCTCAAGTGTGGGAATAAAGTGAGAGCTTTGCTTTCTGGCCCAGCTAATTTTTTGTTGGTGGCCAATCTCCTTTAATGACCAAATCCTTCAGGACAAACAGAGGTCTTCAGCATTACTCTGTGCTTTTCCAGACCATCCAGTTGCCAACCATAGGCAGGAGAGGTGGGCATAGGATATAGCTGCAACTTGGTAGAAGGAACCCCATAACTCTCTGCCCTGTTCCAGTATGGTAGGAAGATGGTCCGCTCTCCTGATGGCCTGGCCCGACCCCCCAACATGCCTGCCCTGCCTATAATGCTTGCCCAGGCTCTTGGCTCAGTTGTCACGATTGCTCTTCCTGCAAAGAGACAGGCCATCAAGGATGCAGGCTGCCTGCCACACAGGCTGCATGTGTGAGAGTGGGCTTAGTCGAGCAGCAACAAAACAAGAGTTCAACGTGTGGTTTGTGTTGGCCGTTTGTATATGAATGTGTATGTGTGGAAAACGTGCGGGGTCCTCCAGGGAGTTGACAGGTGATTTTTAAGCTATAGACCAGAAGTGTTGATTCATCCTCGCCTCTACATTGTCAGGAAGTCTCCCTAGCACACGCTGGGGGTCTCTGCAGGGATTGGGAAAATGGTCAGCGATGATGGCAAGTCGCATGGATGCGACTGCAAGAAGTGTTCATGTTACAGCTTAATAGCATATCGAAGTTCAGGTGACCCCGACCTTCCCCAGCCCCTTCTTTCTCTGCATTCTGAAGTTGATGGTTTGATGTGAGCATCCAGATCCATCTGGCCTTTAGTGGATAATGCTTAAGAGCTGGGGGAAAGAGAGGCTGGAGTAACCCCTTTGCAGCGAGACAGATTTCTTACTTCATTTGTTCCCTGGGGCAAGACTTGATGGATAAGCAGGCCTGCAGGTATGCCCATGCTGGGTACCACCAGCAGCATCAACTTCTGGGATTTGGAGAACAGAGGAGAGTTCATATATCAGAGACAAGAATTCTGGGGAGACCTTGACCTCCATTGTCATGTTCCAGTTAGGACTCTGCTTAGGACCCTCATTAGGACCCAGGCACCCAGTGAACCCAGAGAGAGTTAGAGATGATGTTCATCTGGTCCCCAAAGCCTCCATGGCTCTACTGCACAGGTCTTGGAAGGTACTCAGAGTAGTTCTGTGCTTGGTTGGACTTTCCTGACCGTTGTATTGGGATCTGGGGATAAAACCTCTGAATTGCAACATGTTCATTGATGATGGAGTTCTCTGGTCAGCAAAATGGTGGAAGGTGAAGGGTGCAGAGCTAGATTTTCTTCAGTAGTGCTATGGGCTAATGGGAACTGTGCAATAGGACAAAAAGTCCAAAAAGGTTGTTCCCTATCCCCACACATGATTTGCTCTCAGGTAGTGCAGTGATCGAATGCATCCCTACCACCACATGTGAAAAACAATGCTCAGAGACTAGAAGACTATGTTAGGCTCGTTGATGGACCTAACAGAGGCTTTGCCTTAGTGACAGGTAACACTCTCCTGATCAACCTCTTACATTGTACTGTGGAGGCTTCTGTTCTGTCACTTTAATTTCATTTGCTCGCTGACCCCTAACCCCCAAGTTAACCCTGCTGTGCTGCTTCTGGCATTGCTGAGCTTCTGAACTGGCCTTATGGTATTGACACTGCACTGACCTCTCCTCTAACCTATGTCAACTTAATTTACTAAATTAAATTAACCTTGGATTCTTGCGTTTTCTACATTTGACCTAATTTTTTTTCTTTTTATCTATTTTTTTCTCTGTTTCTGTCTCTACCTTCTCTTTCCTTCTCCCCCCTCCCCTTCTGGTGTCTGCCGTCACACATGTCACCTTGGACGTCACTGGGACATCCCCACTGCACATTTGTTTTTAAACAACCACATTGTCTCTGGGGACCCATTGTTTGACACCTGCAGCAACCTTGGGAGGCTCCTCCGCGTCCTACACCTTTGTCTCATTGCTTTTCTCTGCAGTGACTCTTCTCTTGCTCTGCTAGGAACTTGAAAACAAAAATTAAATTGCTTAAAAGGCCAATTCCTATGAGAATGATTAGTGCCCCCTTTGGACAAACCCTCCAGGACCACCCCAGCCACAGCCACAGTGAGCATTCTGTGTGGAAGAGGAAGGTTTTGTCATTGGAAAAAGATTGACCTCCAGACATTTTACCATTCACAGATATTTTATGCCACATAGGAAGGAGCTTGTCCCCTTTCTAATCACAGTAAAAAATTATTTGTGAGCTCTATTTTTAAAACACTGTTTAAAAAAGAAAAGCATCCTGCTAGATTTCCAGAGAAATTTCTGCCTGACTGCTACTTACTGCATTTTCTGTCCTTACCTAAAAAACATGTAGCAGAAAAAGATTTCTATGCACCTTCTAGAACTTGCATCAGATTGTTTAAATCACCACATACTCTTGCAGTATGGCTCCACGCTCCTCCTGCCCTTCAGCAAGTAGTTGGCTTTGCTTTCATTTAAGTGCCCATATTGAGAGATCCAGGTTGCTTTGATTCTCCTGAGCATTTTGCTGATACAATGGGCAAATTTAAGTCACCCTATTGCCCATGCACAGTGGCAGAACTCAATTTGTTGGCTGTTTTCTGGGGCCAATGAAACATTCTGGGAAGTGCTCTGGTCCTGGTATCAGATACCTTACATGTGGCTCTGAATGAGGTCAAGCTGTGATGTGCCTGACACACGTTGAGCTTTGTAAGTGCTTGTCTCCCAGGCTGGGTGGTTATGCCTAGCTGTATGGCATGTGGCACTAATTCACACAGAGCCTCTGGGTCTTGGGGCTCGTGGTCCAACAACCACACTCACGTTTCCACTATAAGCATCAGCCCACTAGGCTGGAGGTATCCACTGTGAACCAGGTATGAATCATGCTGCAGAGCAGATAGGCCACTCCCAGACTGCCCAGCCCCAGAATGTGAATAAGTATGGACTCAGTCAGCCTGGCAGGACTTCCCAAATGCCCCAGCCTTCTACAAGTCAGTTGGCTGAGTGACATTTCCACAATTCTCATGAAAAGCCAGCTACTCCTCTCTGCTGTTGATAAGTAATTCTCTCCATGTACCAAGGAGAGGAGGGTAGGGTATGTTTGTTAAGGTGCCACACTGAGCCCAGGGGTGACTCCTGCTCAGTAACTTCAGTGTGTGTGTTTGGGGATGCACCTTTTACAGAGTAAAACTCCCCCATTTCATTGTAGTCACATATCATTCTACATATCTCATCTTTGAGCATTTCTTCAGATGTTTGACTTTTGTTCTTTATTTTTTTTCTGTTGTTAATTTTTTTAATGTTCAAAGACTAGCCAACTACATTGGGCTGTTCCCTTTGGGAATCCCAAATGACTCCACGCTATCCATGCTCTGTGGAGCTGAGCCCCCTGCCATGTGGGCACACAGCAGTGTTCACAGTGCTCCCAGTGTAAGGGCCACACCAGACACCAGGGACAACACACGGCTCTGTGGCTTGTGCAGGGCAGGGGTCCCTCATCTCAGCCCCATCTGCTTCCAAGCCAGCCAGGCTAGCATGAACCTCTGTCCCAGAGCCCCTGACCTCACTGCAGACCAGAGCTGTGGAAGCAGATCCGGTTCTTAGGCACGGTGCATAGGGGCAGGAGAAGAAAATGATGCCTCATGGATTTGCCATAAGAATCAAAGATCAGTGAGCAAGAGTTGTAGTGAGAACAAGAAGAGGTTCATCTTCGTGCAGTTGATCCAGCCATGTCCTCCTGGCTCCCACCATGTTCCTGTGACCATCATGGGCAGCAGGCATGTGTATTCACCCCAGGAGGGCCCAGCTCAGGCTCTCCCTCAGCCCTGCCCCCAGTCCCACCCACAAGTAAGGGACGATGCCAGTGTTTCTGAAGGAACCTTTTGGAGATCTGGCCCCAAGTGTCGGGAGGGCTGACATGACCCTGTCACCTGAGCACACCCCAGGGGCAGGCTGAAGTAGCTTTGGGGATGTTACCATGGGGACCATTCAACCAACCCCATGGTTTATCACAGTATGTCCTTGGGAAGATAGCATTAGTGCTCACCCAGACCCACTAGACACTGAGTTCTTCATGAAGGCAAGCCCCCAGCCTCCCAGGAATCCTTAAGACAAAGGCTTTCTTGAGACCCCTGCAGGAGTGAGTGCTCTCCACTTTCCCAGCCACCCCTGCCTCTGCACCCTGCATTAGTGCTGTCCACGTGCCACAGACCATGAGGTCTCTGCTTGTTTGGGGAATATTTATACAGCAGGTTTGGATCACATTTTTCTACTAATAAGAATGCTAACATTGTTGTGTAGATAATCAGCGAGGCCTTTATGAAGTTTACATCTTTGCATTATTAAAGGAAATAACAGTTCATGTGAACTCACCAATGTGTTTTGATTTTGTTTAATA